TATGTCGTTTCAGATTTCCTTGTGCGGATATCTGGGTCTCATCTCAAAGTTCCATGGGAAGTTGAATGCCTTGGGTACTTAGGACAGAACGCGACTTTTTCGCTCTTCGCAACGCGACATCGCGCGGCAGGCTGGCGCACCCGCAGCGAAAACAACTACGGTATGAAGAACGCGCGATTGGAGCAGCTTTTTTGCATGCGTGAATTTGTAAGTTTCTGATTCCTTACTTGCCCGCGCTCACACCCATTGTATTGATAAATGCGGTGAATCACTAATTCTGTCTCATTATTGAAAACGTTTTGTGACTTACACGATTCCGGGCGATGCCACACAAATGGTGTTTTACGAATTATCGGTGAACGAGGGTTTAATAGTGTCGCTTGTGCTTGCATTTTGTGGGTTCATATTGTTGTATAGACATCTGCATAAGGGTATAACATCTTTTACGGAACGCTTCTGTCCTCATCACGGATATGATACTCATTTTTGACGCTGGCGCCATTTGGGGCCGGGTGGCGCCACAACTGATTCCCACTAAATTCGCTGTAAACTTCTGTATAGGGGTTATTCGGGGTCCTGATTTGTTGTTAGCGCTATTCGGCGCCTGCTTCCTGCTCGTCTGCGCCCTCGCACTAATTAGATCGCAATAGGACTAAGCCTTTGAGTAGTGTAGGGCTCCAAAGTGGGTAGGCCATTCCCCTGTGGTCTGACACACTCCAACTTTTGCCACACGGTGCGTGGTTTACCCACTCCGGAGTTTCACTCCCCTCCCCTAAGCTTAGTCGTAGGCGCTGTAGGTGAGAAAGCTTAGAAAAGCAGAAAGTATGCGTTAAACAGCACGAATGTGAAAAATGAGTGTCATATTCATGATCAGGGCCCCAAATAACCCCTATGCAGAAGTTTACAGTCGTCTCATCAAACGTCCATCAACCATTCCTCTTCCAGGTTCTCCAGAAGCTCTACCATCCATCTCTGCAAAAATAACCTACCTCCCTCTTCACTGCTAGTTAGCGGTCCACTTCTGGTTACCATTTCCTCGTTCATTATCAAATCCATGGCTATTAAGCTTCAAACTCCTTGTCGCAATCAAAGCCGACACAAATATCGCGCTCCAATCGCGCGTTCTTCCATACCGTAGTTGTTTTCGCTGCGGGTGCGCCAGCCTGCCGCGCGATGTCGCGTTGCGAAGAGCGAAAAAGTCGCGTTCTGTCCTAAGTACCCACACCCCGCATAGTCGGTCCTCCGACAGCAACGATCGTATGTGTCGCACGATCAATACGCAGCTACTATTCCACACTACAATGGGACTTTCGAAATACCATCACGCGCAGTCACGTGTTGTCTGGGTTAGCATTGGGTGACCGCGTCGCCTTCCATTTGCGACCGCGGTTTATGCGACACCTACGATCGTGCGACCGACTATGAATGCACCCTGAGGAGGTTGTATGACATCTAATCCTTTTGATGCAGCGGGAACCTGGTAGTAAGTAAGAATGCGTGAGCCAGGGGGCCAATTCAGGGGGTGGGGGGTGTGTGAGCCACTTAACCTGTGGCAAAAGTTTGGGCCTTAGTGTCTGGTGTCTGGCCTTGTGAAAGGAGACGCAGAGGAGCAAAAGGATTAGACAACACCCCTGGGGCGGTATTCAATCCTTCCCCCAGGGGGATATATCCCCCTCCTCTGATTCAATCCTCTGGGGGGACAAAAAAGGGTTGCGTCATAGGACCTAGCATACCTCTGTGTTTCTACCTGCCAGACAGTTAGAGCAGCGCGGGGAAAGAGTGCTTCATCAGTGGAGGGTAGTCGCGCTGCTCTAACTGTCTGGCAGGTAGAAACACAGAGGTATGCTAGGTCCTATGACGCAACCCTTTTTTGTCCCCCCAGAGGATTGAATCAGAGGAGGGGGAAGGATTGAATACCGCCCCTGGTGTTTCCTGTGCAGGACCACTGGACGGGTGCGGTAGGTATTGTAGCATTATAACAGA